TCAAAAAAAAAAAAAAAAAAAAGAAAGAAAGGAAAAACAAAACAGACGCCATAGTTCCTTTTTCATAGTCATCATGTGAGAATTAAGAGAGATCATGTTAGTCAATGGCTTGGCACATAATAGGTGCTCAGTAAATGTTAGTTTTTCTCATTTCTCTACAGAGTGTGTGGCCTTTGGAAAATGTCTCCCTCCAACTCTTTGGGCCTCTGTTCTCTTATTTGTAAAACAATGAGGACCATCCTTGACTCTGTAAGAGATGCTCTAAGAATAAAATGATATAGCATTGGCACAGCATCAATGCTCAGAGAATATTTGTTGAGTGAATGAACTAAGTAACCATTGCCCTGGTTCATGAATTCATTTATTCATCAAATATTCATTGTGTACCTACTCTGTACCTGGGACTTTGCCAGCTGCTGAGGATATGGTAGTGAGCAAAGACAGTCACAGTTCCATGTAGCTTATAGCCTCAGTGGGGATGTAAGGAATGAAAGAGATAAAGAATACAAGGTTTGTAACATGTAGTAGGTTCTCAATAACAAACTGATGATTTTGTTACTCTGGGCATCAGAGGGGCACGTTTCACTTGGGCCAGGCAGAGATGGTTTTAGTAATTTATTTTTTGTAGTTGGAATCTCACTCCATCACCCAGGATAGAGTGGCATGCTCATGGCTACCACAGCCTCAATCTGCTGGGCTCAGGCGATCCTTCCACCTCTGCCTTCCAAGTAGCTGGAACTCCAGGCATGCACCAGCATGCCTGGCTAATTTTTCTGATTTTTTTATTGTAGAGATGAGATCTCACCAAGTTACCCAGGCTGGTGTCGAACCCCTGGGCTCAAACATTCCTCTCGACTCTGCCTTCCAAAGTGCTAGGATTACAGATGTGAGCCACCACGCCCGGCTCAGTCCTAGTACTTAATTAATTCATCCAAAAAATGTGTATTGAGTGCCTACTAGGTGCCAGCCCTGAACTAGGTGCTGGAAACACAGTAGTCAAGAAGACAGATAAGACTTTGTTCTTCTGGAAATTCCATTTTGATGGGAAGACAGGCAGTAACCATGAGTAAATAAATGAACGAGAAAATGACAGACTGTGAGAAGTGCATGAAAACAAACTCATTTCAGGATAAAGGACAGTTCCTTGCAACCCTGCAATACCATTTAGATTTTTTTATTCTTTTTTTTTTTTTTTTTGACATGGTCTTTCTTTGTTGCCTAGGCTGGAGCACAGTAGTGCAATCATAGCTCACTGTAGACTCAAATTCCTAGGCTCAAGCAATCCTTCTTCAACAGTCTCCTGAGTAGCTGGCACTATGGGTAAACACCACCAAGCCCAGCTAATTTTTTTTAACATTTCTTGTAGAGACAGGGTCTTGTATGTTGCATAGGCTGGTCTCCTACTCCTGGGCTCAAGCAGTTCTCCCACCTCAGCCTCCCAAAGTGCTTGGATTACAGGCATGAGCAACTGTGCCCGGCTGCATTTAGTTTTGTAAATAGCAGTTTTACTAATATATACTTTACAAACTATACAAGCCACTCATTTAGAGTATACAACTGAGCCGGGCTCGGTGGCTCAGCCTGTAATCCCGCGCCTTTGGGAGGCTGAGGTGTGTGGATTGCCTGAGCCCACG